CGCAAAATTATATACATTTAATTAAATAAATATTGCTGACAAGAGGTCAGTACCGTAAGTGCTATGTTAAGTCTATGGAATGAAAAGTATAGACGCGAGAACACCGATTGTGGTGTTAAACGTCACAATATTATAATAATTCAAATATATCCCCTATATCAATTTTGGCTTCTCTTGGTCATGATCATCAAAACCCGATAGGGCCACTTTAGTGCCACTATTGTATAGTGAGGTTATACTTTAGTTATAGCATGACTAATGCTATTAAATATGAATCTGCCTTTAAATCGCTATATTTATAACACATACATTACTGACTATTTACAATTTCATTACACCATGGCGACCGTTTGTCATGATAGACATTGGCATAATTAATAGTATTAAGTGTCTTAATCCAGACTCTATCATCAATAGTGCTATAATTGGACAGCAAATTCGTGATAAATGTTTGTTCGTCGGCCGACCCGATGGTTATCACCGAGGCTTCAGTGTTGAGTTGTTTGCACGCGTTGTCAGCCGTCTCTTTGTTTGCGCGCTTTTCCGTCATTTTATAACACTTTTCTCTCTTATATGGTATCCAATCGTCGCATAGATTCATATCAATCGCCAATGAATTCACTATAACTATAATTATATAAAATTTTTTAATTAATTGTATTTATTTATTAAAGACATAAAATAAGATTTATAAACTCGCAGTTATAAAATGTAACTTATAATACAGTATAACCAATTGTCGTTGATGTTAGCAACAATAGTGTCATGAAATATTGAGCCATGTTAACTTTAGAAAAAATATATTTATTTTTATTTATAAAGTTATATCGTTTAAAATTTTGTTAAAATTTAATTATAATTTCAGTTTTAAAACAATTATTTCAAATGAATTATTATTTCTATATTGAATGATAAAAATGTTGATAACATGTTTGGATTAAAGTTTCTGACTTATCTTTATATTATATCTAAATAAAATAATATTGGTTTAATAATATTAAAATTAAGATAAGGTAATATTAATTCAAGTTCACGATAAGTGAATATTATTTATTGAATGTCTTTAAACTTTTAACTTCATATCGTTAATGAAAATATTTTAGTTAAAACTCAATATTTATAATTATAATGTTGATAAAAATATTTAACATTAATAATAACAGAGATTACCATCATAAAATAATGATATAAATGTTTGTTAATTAAACAAATAGTCGTGAAATTTTACTAACCTCAATATTAAAAACTATAAATGATAATAATATAAATCTAATTATTAGAAATATATAATAAATAACTACATGATCAAGAACACTGCAAATAAAAGTTTCTGAGTACAATTATTTATTTTAATCAAATAATATAATACAAGTCAATCAACAATAAAACATGTTATTTACTGAAACTCGTTCAATCAATACGTTTCCATATAATGTTGCCTTTCTTTATGGACTGTTGCTTAACCGTATGGTTGGTTTGTGGTGTAGGAACGTCCTTGGTCAATTCAACCCAATCCATTTGTTTCCAAAGATCGGGTCCAGTGGTTGAATTTTCATTTAGATCGGCCCACTTTTCAATTAACTTATTTATTTCAATAATTTTCTTATCATGTTTATTGTTCTTAATGACATCGTTGTACTCATTGGTTATATCAGTCCACTTTGATTGCGGCCATAGGTGTATGGGTTCGGACTGGTTGGGCAGCTGAATGTATACAAACCCTATTGGTATCGACCTTAAGTTACCGCTATAAGACGCGTCATTTTGTACGTCATTAGGCTTATCAATAGCTTTGTTGAGTTGGGTTTGAGAAACATTTCGCTCTAGCTCATTAATTCTGGCTTGTTGGTTATTAACCAGCATGGTCACATTTTCCAGAGCTGTGCTCAATATTGTTAGAGTCCATTCCTGGCGCCGCTGGCAGACAGCATAGGCCCGTCGACCGCAGGGCTCGGAATACCATTTGCCCATAAAGTGAGCATTTACTGACATTTGCACGCAAAACGGCATCTTTATTGTATCCTGGTAATTATTATTATAATTCCTGGTCATGGTAATCTGTGTTGTGTATTCATATGGAATGCCATCGACCCAGTTGTTATAGACATCTGCCGTTTTAACATTATTCATTCCGGTCCATACTTTGTCCGTATACTGGCTATAGTTAGTCAACATTTTGTTGACAAACTCTTGCTCATCACTCGAGGTGATGACCATCAACGAGGCTTTAGGGTCCAGTTTAGTGCATTCGCTTTGAGCCAAGGTTTTGTCCATACGTTTTGGTATTACTTTAAAACATTTTTCCTTATTATATGCGATCCAATCATCGCATAAATTGAGATTGATTTCCACTGCATTTACAATAACTGCTATAATTATAATATTTAAAAAATTAATTAACGTTACCAAATTAAATTATATGAATATTAGTGTTACCTATAGTACAAAGCATAAATGCTAAAGTTACAAACGCGTTGACACCCATAGTGGCTTTATAATGTCAAATAATTTTAAGTAATTAATTAATATTTTAAATGAAATTACTTAAATAGATTAAAATTGCTGCCAAAACGTCGAGACAAACATAAATACTGTGTCAAAACAAAATGAAAAACAGACATAATATTCGATAGTATTTCAAAGAATATTATTATAATAAGAGACTAACTATTTGCCAATTTATGAGTCATTTCTCACATTACAATTAAGTTGAATTTAAGTTAAATTGTTTAATCAATTTTGTTTGCTTAATATTTATTATAAATAATTTACAATTTGTTATCATAATGTATATATTATTTTAAAAAGTTATTCAATCAATGTCCTGTCAATACAGGCAAATACTTAATCAATTTACAGAATTGTTTTTGGGGAATGTATTGACAACATGGAAATAATTTTAACATTACGTCTACGGAGAAAAGAATTTGTTATTGGTTGACAACATAAAGTATTTGACAACATACAGTATATAGCTGATATTAGTTGATAGAATAGATATTTTACGGTATTTTAATTATTGTTTGCATAAGTTTAATATTTTAACGATTAATAAATCAAGGTTATTAAGTGTTAGGCTATTATATTAATAGTTATACAATATAAAATATTTGACATATCATGTTAAAAAATACATTTTTATCCTTAAATTTTTATATTTAATCATGGCAAATGGTAACAAAATAACTTTAATATAAAATAACTACAAAAATATAATTGGTTTACAGAAACCAGTTTTACAACAATTATAATAATTGTATTAGTATAATTTGAATTTTATTAATTTAGTAAATATTTATCATAACAATTGTCAATTGAAATATTTAAAATAAGTTTTTAATTAATTTGTTTGTAATTATTACATTAAAAAATTTTAAATGTCAAAATAATATCTATTGTTTAAATATGCAATTGATTAAACTATTTAATTGAATAAATAAAACTATTATAATAATATAAATAAATTTTAAATCGAATAACATTTATATTGTATACATAGAAAAAAACTGTAATACAATAGACAAACACTCATAATAAAATTAAAACGGCTAAAATAAAATTTTGGTATTTATAGTATTTAAGTCTACTGTTCTGTAATTTATCCAGCAACACTTGTAACATTGGTAGAATTGCTTATTTTATAAATTAAACCATAATCAACCATAATTTTCGTAGCATTAACAGCATGTTTTTCCAGTAGATAATCAATCAATTTATTTTGCAACTGATCATTTATCTGCATAGTATTTTTGATGGTTTCAATGTTGGAGCTCAAAATGGCCATGGTCCATTGTTGGGTGCGCTGGCACACCACCATAGCTCGTTGTGCGCACATTTCCGAATACCATTTGCCCGCAAAGTTACCAATAATACTCATTTGAACGCAAAATTCATACAACACTGACCTACTATTCCCTTTATAGTTGGTATAACTGGAATAACTATTGTAAAGTACCGTGGTAGCTTCGATTGTGTGCTCGAACGGAAAATCATCGACCCAGTTACTATAGCCCGGCCCCTTAGTATTGGCCATACCTGTCCACACTCTATCAGCAACGGTGCTATAATAGGAAAGGAATTTTGTGACAAATGCTTGTTCGCCGGCCGACCCGATGGTTATCAACGAGGC